TAACCAACCTTACTTCCTTGGCTTTTTCCTTTTTCCCTGTACTTTCATACATCACAATTTATATCATCAACAATTAACACTTTTTTTTCAATTCAAATATGAAAATTAATCTCAAATAAGGTGAGGATTTATATGGAAAGTGGCTTATTCATCTTTATAGGTTTTCATAGAATAAACAGGCCTAGGCTCAAAGGGGTTTAACTAAGAAATATCAGCAATGGTTGGCTATTTGGCCATCTAGTTTAAAGAAAGAACATGCCTCAATCATATCCATAAAATATATCACATACCAAATCAAGCAAGAAACAAAGCAAGTTCTATAGTCTTTCATACAGTGGGATGCACACTCAATAAAATTTTCTGTATGGGCTCAAAACTTCACGGCTATGAATGCACAGTAATTCCCTTATTCTTTATCTTAAAAAACTTCATTACTAAAGAGAGAATACTCAACGAATCATGAAAATCATTACATTGATGCTCATTATGAAAATATTCAAGTAAGTGCATCATCATGCTCTCAATCAATTACTGATTAAAATTACTACCAATTATCCATTTATTTGCACTGAGTTAGAAAAATTTAAAATTTTCACAAAAACAACGGCTTGGGCTTTTTCAAAACAACTAAAAATTAAAAATTAAAATAAAGAAGAATTAAGCTAAAGAAAAGGAGAAAGGATTTGAGATAGTTCCCTGTTTTAGCTGGATATTCTGTGTGTGCTCATGAAGTTCCTCCAGCTTAATCCATTGTGCTTAGATGAACTGCGCGTTTCCCATTCCCAGATTTAAATGTTGCTGTCCTCAGCAATAGATTTAAATCTAAAAAGAAAACGCGTCGAGAAATAAAACAACTAGTTGCTCTCTCTTGTTGTTTGTTCCCTTTTTTGCACCTGTAAAATTCACTCAATGATAGCCATTAGTCTCAACACCTTCTCTTATATTTTTGTATTTTTCTTTATTTAATTCAAAGTAAAAATAACTAAAACAGTGAAATTAAAATAAAATAGTAAAGTGTGGGTTTGCCTACCCATTAGCGCTTGTTTAATGTCACGAGCCTGACGTACCTGATTTACTTTCATGGTGGCTCAAAGCATAAGCTTGGTGATGTCCAAGCTCCATCATTCAAAAATTGTGTCCTACCGTAGTGCTCTTCTGTATATGGATGAGGTAAAGTAGTCTCAGGAACTTTGAACTTGACTTTTACATGCTTTCCTTTGCTATTGGGCTTCTCCATCTTAACTTTTGGTTTACTTTCTTGAGAAGACTCCTCACTGTGTTCTTCTTCACCTTTCTTTTCACTAATAAAGTAGACTTGATCTTCCGGTTGAGCTACGGATGAGGGGACTTCTTTGTCAAAGAATTTGAAAATTACTTGCTCTCCGTCTACCCGTAAGATCAACTCACCTTTAAGTACATCAATCAGTGCTCCTGAAGTTGCCAAGAAGGGTCTTCCAAAAATCATAGGAATTGTGGCATCTTCTTCAATGTCAAGGATGACGAAATCAACAGGAATTATAAACTTGTCAACCTTAACCAATATATCCTCAATGATGCCATACGCTTGCTTTGAAGAGCGGTCAGCCAGTTGCACTATCGTCGTTGTGGGCTTCACTTCAGTAATTCCTAGCTTCTTCATCATGGAGAGTGGCATGACATTGATGCTAGCTCCAAGATCACATAAAACATTGTCCACTTCCACTTTGCCTATAGTACATGGAATGGTGAAGCTCCCTGGATCCTTGACTTTGGTAGGTAACTTCTTTTGGATGATAGCATTACATTCCTCTGTCAGATTCACCGTCTCACATTCCTGCAACTTACGCTTCCTTGATAATAGATCCTTCATGAACCTTGCATAGTTGGGCATGTTCTCTAAAGCTTCGGCAAAAGGAATGTTGATCTGCAACCTCCTGAATATGTCTAGAAACTTTGAATATTGCTGCTTCTGAATCTCTTTCTTTAATCTCTGAGGATAGAGAATTCGAGCATATGGGGAGAGATCTAAGGGCTTGTCTTGCCTTTCTAAAGCTTTCTTCTTCTCCCACTTAAATAATTTCCTTTCAACTTTTTCAGGATTGCTTTTGTCAACTTCAATTATATCTTTTTCCTTTTCTTCCTTCTATTCTTCAACTGATGCTTCTCCATCCTTCTTCTTTTCTTCAGGCTGCTCCTCTATAAGTTGGATCACTGTCCCACTCCTAGTGGTGATAGCATTGCAATGCTCCCTTGGATTGACAACTGTGTTGCTTAGAAAAGTACCCTGAGCTCTCTCAGAAAATTGCTTTGACAACTAGCCAATCTGAATTTCCAGATTTCTTATGGAAGCTTCTTGATTCCGGTGTGCTGATCTAGTCTCTTGCATAAAAGTAGATGTGTCCTCTCTGAAAGCATTTGCACCTTGAGTATAATCAGAAGTGGTCTTGCACAGCTCTGCAAAAGCTTTCTCCCACTCAGAAGTGTTACTTTGTTGTGGGGTATGTGGTTGCACTGGAAGGGGAGGATTGAGCTGATGGTTGGATTTGTAACTCAACCATGGATGTTGATTCTGATTCTTCTGATCGTACCAGATTCTGTTGGCCTCTGCTGATGGCTTGTCATTTGTTCTCATGTAGTCGCAATCTTTCGTCGCATGAGCCTCTGCACAAATACCACATTTAATTTGAGAATTACTAACAGAAGAAACTTGAGAATGATTAAATTGTTTAGTAAGAGCATTTAATTGTTCTTGTTGTTTCTTGTGCATTTGCAGCATTTGTTCATTTTGGGCTAAGATTGCATCATAGCCGTCGAGCTTAATAATTCTTGCTCTCTTTTGTGCAACTGGGGCATTGTCAAATTCTTGAGAAGTTAAGGATTCCAACAATTCTAGTGCTTCCTCTGGAGTTTTTGTTTTCAAGGAGCCCCATGCAGCAGCATTTACCAGTGTTCTTGTGTTGGGTGTCATTCCTTGGAAAAAGATTCTTTCTTTCTCCCATGTTTCAATTCCATGTTGAAGACACTTCCTGAGTAATCCTTTGAATCGTTCCCAAGCCTCGTACAGAGATTCGTTTTTTTTTTTCAAAAGAGGTGATTTCCGCTTTGAGTCTTACCAGCTTTGAAGCTGAGAAAAATCTGGCCAGGAATTTCCTTGCTAAGTTATCCCAACTGGTTATGCTTCCTTCAGGTTGAGACTGCAGCCAAGCTCTTGCATCATCCTTCAGTGAGCATTGAAATAATCTAAGCAAGATACCATAACTAGAAACTCCATTCACTTTTAATGTGTCACAGTAAAGTAAGAAATCATCAAGATGACTCTAGGGGTTCTCTGCGCTTTCTCCAGTGAACTGGTCTTTTTGAATCAGTTGCAGCAGTGCCGACTTTAGCTCGAAGTTGTTAGCTTCTATGGTCGGTCTAACAATGCTCGCCATCTGTGGAACTCAGGCTGGAGTCATATAATCTCCCAAGGTTCTTGGAGCGAGTTGATTGTTTTCTGCCATCGGTTCCTCCTTAGGTTTCGTTGAACTTGAGGTTTCTTTTGCTTCTTTCGCTTTCTTTGCTTTTGCGTCCTTCCTAAGTTTCCTTTCTGTCATTTCTATCTCAGGATCAAATTGCAAGATTCGCGGGTTAAGAGTACCTCGCATAAACTAAGATTGAAAAGATGTGCAGAAAAAATAGAAAGTGCAAAAAAAAATGAAAACATAAAAATAAAAATAAAAATAAACAAAGAATGCAGAAAATTAAAATATGCAGAAAATTGATGCAGAATTATTTTACGAAGAAAATATTTTTGAAGAATGTTTAAAGTGCAGAAAAAAATGTCCAATCTAAAAGGTAATTAGTTACTTCTAATGTTGAAGAATTCGATCCCCGGCAACGGCGCCAAAAACTTGTTGCGACTTCGGCAAGTGCACCAGTCGTAAAAGTAATAAAAGTGTGCTGAGTACAAGATCGTTCCCACGAGGATCGAAATTTCAAGCACTAGTTTGCTAATCTCGTTTTAGTTGGACAATCAAGAATTTAGATGACGAGAATTGTAATTGAAGAACTTAAAAATTAAAGACAAGTAATGAGATGCATTTAAAGAAAATTCAGAATTAAAAAAAAAAAGAATAAGTGAAAAGATGATGATTGATTAAGAATGTAAAACAAGCGTAGTTAGGGTTTCGACTTTCCCCAATATCCTCGTTATGTTATAAATTAAAGAGTCAAGAACCTTTTCTTAATATATTGCCAATCAAATCTATCTAAGTTAATTAGGGCTCAATTCTTTGTTACTCTAAATCTATGTGATCTTGAAAGAATTCTAGTTCCCCGATTATTCCTCAAGAAAACATGCATTAAGATCAAGAATTTCAAGATTGCACAATTACCCTATGTCTATCCCTAGTTCACAAGGATTATGATAAATTTATCCAATCAGGGTTCATGCACCAACATCCCTATTGTCATACAATTCCCCAAAATCATTCTATAAGGAGCAAACTCATAGAAAGCATTAAAAACAGATAAATTTATTCAATTATAAAAAGAAAAGAATTCAAGACCAATTTAATCCATAAACATAAACTATTCAATTGGGTTCCATCTACCCCTAACTATACAAAAGTCTAGCCTAACATACTGAATTCAAAAACAATAATAAAGAAAAGAGAACCCCAAGCCTCCATTGGTGTGATGTTGACTTGGTTCCTCAGTGTTCCAGCGCTCCGCAACAGGATTCCTCCTTCAAGTCTCTATGCATTTCTCTGGACTTGTGAATTGATTTTATGGTCTTGACCCTCAGCTCCTTATTTATAATCATTGAAGTTATATCCTTCATTCAATCTCCCAACGAATCTGTATCAAATTTATAATTGATTCTACAATTGTTTCCTCTTTCCATTTAAGATCTTGAAGATTGGTTGACAGATTTGAGCTTTGAATCTTTGTTGTGATCTTCCATCATATCTTCCTATGGATTTATATTTATTCTCAATCAATATTGATTTGTTTCTACTTTGTATTTTTTGTAAAATCTGATGCATATCTTGATAAAGATATAAGATCTCTTTTGGATTTAGATATGGTCGTGCATGGACGTTTTAGCATGCTGTTTGTGCGCTAAAACGTTCTCACATTGTGTTGCTGTCTTCCTATGGGCGTTTTTGGCGTGCTGTTGGGCGCCAAAACGTCCTCTTCGAAGGGTTTCTGGTTGCTTCTGGAGCGTTTTGGCGCTCTGTTTTGCCGCCAAAACGCTCTGGTCCAGGTTGTTTTTGTGGTTTTCTTCATTTAGAGCGTTTAAATGTTCTTCTTGGACGCCAAAACGTCCTCCTCCAGCTTGCAGATGCTTGAAATCTTGCTTCCTTGAGGCTTCAACTCCTCTTGTTGCTTTCTTTTGGTTCCAAAGGGCCATAATAGATGTCAAAAATCCTTTGAAATAAGAAATATGACAACATGTTAGCAAGATATTCAATTATTGTGACTTCACGGTATGAAACCCTAATTTCCATGCAATTCATGATATATTTTAAGTATAATTAAGCCTAAAACCATGGTAAACCATGGGTTTATCAGTCACCCTTGATCGAACTCAACCTAAACACCTATAAGATCGCTCTAATTGAGTAAAAAAAATTACAACAGCAAGAAACCTTCAACCAGATGTAGAGCAATCTCTACGTTCACAATTACAAAAGAAATTAGAGAAAAAGATGAAGAGAAGAAGAATATTGAGTTTTTCTCTCAAAGTATGCAAAATAAGCCTAAATGAGGGTTCATTCTTGAATTTTATGAGTTCTGATGTTTCTCTCGCTTAATTCCTATTTAGAAACCTTAATCTTATGTTTATATAAGTGTCGTATGAGTATTATAGCTATTTATAGTCGCTGGATTCTTAATTTTGAATTTTAAGTATATAACAGATCCATATTCGGATATCTGTCGGGCTCATATATAGATATCCATATTCGAATATTCAATATCATGTATCCGGATATCGACATTCGGATATACCATGCACAACAACCTTAGTTCATGCAAAAACCCACGCCCTGAATTGATATCGAATTCGATATCAATTGGTTCAGTTTTAATGTCTTTTTTTGTTTGTAAAAGAAAGACATGAAATAGCTAAACAAGTGATATTGACTCATAAGGTCGAAGATATATAGCTTATCGAAGCTATTGGCGATGCAAAAAGAGTTGTCAAAGAGAGCCCTCTAATGTGTTGAATAAACATTAAATGTGGAGTTATGTGTCAGTTTAATTTTTAATGGGTTTAATTCAGCAGTCAGTTTAGTTTTTAATGGGTTTAATTCAGCAAACGTTAAATGTCAGTTTTATGTTTTTAAGTTTCTAAAGTTATGTGAGTTTATTGTGGTGTTAAGTGTCTTTATTGTAGAGTTACGAGTTTTGTAATTTAAAAATCTATTGTTTGAATGTAAAAGTTACGACTTCTACCTTAGTAAAACTTCTTTGTTTTATTTACAAAAAAAAAAAAAAAAACTTCTTTGTTTTTACTCTTCTCCTATCAAATTGGTATCAGAGCCAATGGAAGTATGACCGGTAATGTGCCGCTACCCCGACTTACGAAGGCGAACTACGAGAATTGGAGCATCCAAATGAAAGCTCTTCTCGGGTCTCAAGACGATTGGGAGGTCGTTGATGCTATCTGGCAAGTATACCGTTTCACATAAGTAGTAAAGTAGTAAGAAAGATCGTCTCCTCAGGGATTGAAAACCAAGTACTAAAATAATCAGTCACTTTAAGTTGAAAAACTTGATCTCTTGTTGGGAAAATTAAATTGAATCTTAGTAACCATAAAAATAAAGACTTATTTTTGAGTTTTTGTATTTTCAAGAATGAAAAGAAGAATAATAATGGAGTTGG